CATGAAATTTAGTTGAACGAGACAAAACACGAGCAAGGCATGGGCGGGCAATACAACCAAAACATAGTAAAGCAAATGGAAGACCTAAGTTCTGTAGCTGAAGCAACCGACGTAAAATCTTTACAGGCAGAATTTTCCACTTAGTAGATCATCACTTAGACAAAGCCAGCAAGTTCTATTCATTAACCAACCCATCAGAAAAAAATACATGGGACATGTTATCGTTTCTGCCTGTTCTGGCAAAGAATCAGAGTCCACCTGATATTTACATTCAAATAAGGGAGCATGTAGTTGCTGCACAATGATCATCGAGACAAAAGTAAAAGGGAAAAAAAAAAAAATTATGTATCACTATATACTCAGAAACAGAGGAGCATTTCCGCATGAACCCTTTCTCTACCGGGAGGAACAAAACTCTCAACCACTGAAACACTCTCCTATTCTTTCTGGTTACAAAATGAATTGTGTACAAAACAAAAGCTAATAACACTGTCTCTCTCTCTCTCCCTCAAGTTGCCCTCTCCTCTAGGCGTGTAAATCTAACAAACAAAACTTCATACTTGTCAAAAGAATATCAGGACTGCCAGAACTTGTTGGGGTCATTACTATACAACGATCGGTCTTGGATTTCAAGATTAGCAACATGCCAATCGATCAATCTTGCTTGGACACATTTACACACAAGAAGCACAGTTGGAAACAACCACCACCCACTTTCATCCCTGAGGCAAAATTGAAATAATGAAATAAGCAAATGTACCAATCAAGATATTTGGGATTGGTAGATACTTTTCAAGAAACTTAAACCAGCAATATAATCTGAAGATAACGATTACCCATACATGCTGAAGTTCCAAGGCTGGAAATTTGGGTGTTTTTTGCTAGACTGGGTCTTATAATGGACAAATCCACATATGAAGGCCACAACCTGTGCTTATTGGGTAATAACAAGGAGATCAAGTAAGTCAACCAATTCCTGGAGGAATATTGTATAGCAAATAATGGGACATTAATGGAAATGGAAAAGATGGAAATAAACTAAGAGGAAAGACAACATAATTTGCAAGTAGTTGAAACAAAAAGGTCACATAATACAAAAAAGTAACACAGTACACAAATACTGAAACATACATAACATAATAAATTCTGAAGATTTCCGCTTTAACTCCTAAGCATACATATTAGAAGGAAATACAGAATGCTGCCGGAGTTGCAAAAAATAATGGCTTCATCCTCAATGGATTTTCATATGCAATTCAATCCATTCAAGCAACAGTGTACAAGATCCTTTTCCTTCTCCATTTTCTTTTCATTGAGGGGCACAAATTAGAGTGGAAATTCAACCTAAACCTAATATTTGACACTGAAAGTGCCAAATAAATTGATCTTCAGTGGAAGTCCCATTTGAATGTTCGACTAGAGATGTTAGTGGGCCGGCCGCTGCGTTGGATGGGCTGCAGGAAAAAATTGTCTTCCCCTTATGTAGATTCTATCAGTCTTCTTCAAAGGGGCCCCTTCCCTACTACTTGTTGATAGGATAGGCCCTCTAGACTAGAAAGAACCTTGCTCCACTATGGATTCTTAAAATCCTTTATCCATTGTGTTGTCAAAGCCCTCGTTATTGAGTTTGCTGTTGTGAAGCCCTCTAACGAGTGCATAGCTTCAAAAGTGGACGCTATGCACAAAGCCATTGGTCAAGTCTTGTCAAAGCCCTCGTTAAAGAGGGCTTTTAGCAACTTCCAATTGTTTAGGGTGCTTTGACACCTGTGCTAGACAGAAAATCGCTCCTTTGAGGGCTGCTACCACATTGCTTCCATAGCATAGAATTGTGTTCCAATTATCTAGGGGGCTTTTATGCAACTTCAAATTTGTAGGTGGCTTTTCAAATCGGCCTTTTAAATCCCAGGGCTCAACCATGGACAAGCGGTGGGAACTACTAAAGTTGGAGTACGATAGGAGCAGAGGGAATTTGCCGTGAAGTAGTGAAATGATTAGAGATAAAAAAGAACACCAACAGCGAAATCACTCCGCTGGGCCGACACTGACATTAAGAGACGAAAGCTAGGGAGCAAATGGGATTAGACACCCCAGTAGTCCCAGCCATTTAGGGTGCTTTATTTGCTCAAAAAAAGGCTTTGCTTGTTGCGGAGGCTTTACGCATTGCACCCACGAGCGAAGCTAGGAAGACTTCTAGTTGTAGGAGGCTTTGTTTGCAACATAACAAGCGAGTGCTTTGCGAGAGCAAAAAGCTTACCAACTATGTTCAATGAAGCAAAGCATTCGCAAGAGCAAAAAGCCAACAAACCACAGCTCAAAAGCTACAAAACCTTTACCATTTAGTTTTCGACTTCTTGGGAATATATTGGCTGATGAATTAGTAGTTATTGTTCTTGTTTCTTTAGTCCCTTCATTGGTTCTGATATCTATCATATTCCTCGGATTATTCACAAGTTAGCCACAGCTTATATAGGGGAATCCATGGAGGCTCATCATTGAGTAACTTTCAAAATGAATCACAATCAAAATAGTCATTTTTAAAATAAAAATAAAAATACTTCTCAAAAAAAATAAAAAATAAAAAAGCCCATGAATATTTTTCCAATTCAGGGGTGGCTCAGGATATCCCTTGGGGTTTTGGGGAACATGATGCTTGACTAGCTTAGCAGGGCTTTGCCTCCCTGAGCTTAGTCAGCTACAACAGCTACACACCTTAGCTTAGGTTTTCTTTGCCTTAGCTTAGTCAGCTACAGCAGCTACGCACCTTAACAAGCGAAGCTACAGCGGACAGTTTTTTTCATGCCCTAATTACATGAGTGAAGCACAAAGCAGAGGTGATGCCTGACAGGTATATTAGGTTAGGGTGAGAAACATTTATACCTTCGCTCACTAAGACACACAGTTTGCTTTCGCTTCACAAGTGATGAGCAAGGTTTAGAAGTGGCTTACTTAAAAGCTGAGGTCACCTTGTCGCTTACGTTTTTAGCTATGGAAAGACAAGAACAGGAAAAGGCGACGAAAGCGAAGGTTACTTAGTAGCTTACACCGCAAGGCTAAATTAGGAACACAAACTGAATATACTTCTATCTCGTGATTTATTTTACTTAACAAGAAAAATAAATATAATAAACATGAAAAGATGTATAGTTAATGATGTAATTAAGGATGCTAGTAAGTACTGGTGGTTTCAATTTCAAACTTTGAAGGTCTGATATGTGATTTAGGAGAATATCATTTGAGGTATCAGGTTAAGGTTTTCTCTAGGTGTTCTTTTACTTAAGGTCTGTGTTTTATGAGAATCTCAATATCCTCACTAATAAATAGTAGGATTCCAGGATGTTGAACCGACAATTCCAGAACCAGTTGAATCACAGTTCTGGTTTCTAAGAAGCATCATTACGTTCAATCAAAACCATGATTTCAAAGAGATATTGCTCGAGTATTACAACTAATCTAGGAATGTTTGACAAGGGCGCCAACAATAATAACTAGTTCCGTTAAGTTATCTAAACATAATAATAATAATCGCTAGTTCCATAATGCGTGCTACTTCCATATGAACAACAGTGCTGATGGGCCAAAATCTGTCAAGAGTGACAATGTGCAGAAATCTGAATGAAGGAAACTCAAACTTGATGTACCTTTCTCTACCTTAAGCACCCCACACAAAACCCAGATGGTGCCTGCTCACCGACTCAAATCAGCTTACTAGCGAGTTATCCCACCCACAGCTTTCAACTCTTGAACCTCCCCTCCTGCAGATTTCATGGGGATGGTCTCCCTCATTCACTCATTAAATCTCACTAGTTCTCTATATAACTCTATAGTAGAAGCTTAAAGCACATGAACAATTACAATTCATAGGAATTTACAAATGAGAGGATGACTCCCTTCCTATGACCAAACACCTTAAACCATAACTAGGATGATGCTGATTGGCATCCAACAGTCCTAAACTCTTGTAGATCTTCTATACGCTTGTTTTAGTTCCTTTATTAAAATGTATTTACATATATTACAAAGGATTTTCTCAAGAGTTTTAGAGTCCTCTATCCTAGAAAACTCTAGAACCACCCACACACTTTGGAATGTACTTCATGACTATAAAACCTTTTGCTCCTTTACAGAGCTCTACCACTACAAATATATTTTGGAGCATAAGTTCGCTGCCTTCTAGAGATCTCTATCATTGGAACCTTTCCATCACTTGAAGCCACTCAAAGACATAAGGATATGCTTACAAACAGGTAGTGGAAAATTTTCACAGGATGACCAAGGGTTGTCTTCGCAGCCCTCTAATTCAGGGCAAGTAAATTAGAAGGCTCAAAAAGGAGCAGATGTCTGTTCAGGAAGACTCTAAAGGAGGTTGTTAGAAAGCATTAACAGGTTCTAAATGCAAAGAGAGAATGCCTAACGTGTGTAGGTGCCTCTAGAGTTCTCTAGGGGGTCAACAGAATTCTAGAAACATCTCTTATTTCTTGTAATATGGGCAGGAAAGAAGTTCTTAGAAATGTGAAGGTCTGAGAGAGACTATGAATGTTGGATAGATGCAATTTGGCATCATTTTAGCCATTGGTTCTAGAAGGTTTGCTGTATATAAGAAGTGATCACCTCAACTGTAAAATAATCCCCCAATGTTGCATTGTAACCCACAAGAGTCACGAAGCTCCCACTATTGACTAACCTATTGAGTTCCAAGTGAATGAGTTGGAGCAAGCATCCATGCCAAATCCACATGAAAGGGGTTTAAGAGTTAAGCATGAGCGCTGAGGATGGGATAACTGGCTAGGACAGCTGATTTGAGTTCAAAAGTAGCCACCACAAGTGCCGCATGGGTACTTGATGCAGAAAAGAGTTCGGTTACGTTTAGAAAGGGCTCTAAATAGAGTAAAGCACATCATTCGTGCACATAGATTTGCACATCTACTTCCTATCTGGAATATTAGAATTAAAAAGCAATCATACAAGTCCCCTTCCTCTCTGAAAGTTAAAGAACTGCACCTCTCAGTTGTTGAACTCCTTGTGTAATTCTGTGCCCACTTGAAACAATATGAAATAGCTCCTACAAATTGCTTTCCAAAGTCCTCGCCTCTAGGCTAAAGGGCTGTTCTCAATTGGGCGACCTCCCCTACCTAAGGGACTTTTGTTAAAGACCGCCGGATACTAGATGGTGCACTTATAGCCCATGAGTGCATCCACAAAAGACACTCCTCCAAGGCCCCTGGCCTAGTCATAAAACTTGACTGGGAGAAATCTTACAACCATGTTGACTGGTCAATCCTTGATGAGACTATGGGTAGGATGGCTTTTGGATCCACATAGAGGCAATGGATCCAAGGATGCATCTCAAATCCATTTTTTTCTATTTTGATATATGGTTCCCCCTAAAGGCCATTTTCCTTCTACTAGAGGGCTTCGCCAAGGTGACCCTCTGTCACAATTCCTTTTTGCTATCATGGCCGTAATCTTTAGCTCCTCCATCTCTAGGCTTTACCATGCTGGCCTACTCAGTGGCTTCAAATCCAGTTCTCATGGTCCCATCATCTCCCAACTTCAATACACAGACAACATTCTCTTCGTCTTCGATTCCTCTATTTAGCAAGTCGATATCCTTCTACTCTTCAATAAGTGCTTTGAACTGGCCACAGGTTTCAAGGTTAAATTGGCTAAATCAAAGACAATAGGCGTCTGCTCGGATCCTTATCTAGTGCAATTCCTAGCCACTAGATGGGGTTGTGCAGTCGAAGAATTGCCTTCTACCTACTTAGGCCTACCTCTGTGCCTAGGCATGCCACACCTGTCCCATTGGAGTCTAATTGATAAGTTTGAGAAGAGATTCACAGGGTGAAAGAGACGGTTCCTATGAAAGGCCGGCAGACGCACTCTTATAAAAGCCACCTTCGCTAACACCCCGGTATTTCAAATGCCATT